GAAGAAGGAGGAGGAGGAGCGTTGGTAATAATACAATAAATCTCATACAGCTGCTGATTGAATACAGGTTCATTCATGAATGGAAAAAAAACGATGCTAGGTCATGGACGATTACACATCATTGTTGAATATACAGTCAATGTACACACGAACATGAATACAGTAGAATTACACACGACATGATCAATACTTAGACAATAACATAGTTTTAACTGCCTTCTTAAAAGAATACAATGTCCTAAGGTTTCTTATTACAATGGGCAGAGAGTTCCAGATGTCTGGGCCGGCGTGTCTAATGGATTTGAGAGCCAACGCGGTTTTTGGATTTCTTAAATGGAATTTTTCATACATGATTATTCCATCTCAGATTTTCATTAATAAAAACACCAAGGAATTTCGTGCTATCCTTTTTTTCCAATAATTCACCATCCAAAGTAATTTCAATGTCAGGAATATCGTAATTTTTTCTGTTCTGAAAGTATATATAGTTTGTTTTCTTTAAATTAAGAGACAGTTTATTACTTCTAAACCATTTTGATAATTTTGGTAATTCAGCGTTAATATTTCTTAAAAGGATCTGAATTGGAACAAAATGCATTAGCGTCATCAGCGAATAAAATATACTGTAGTGCATTTGATGAATTATAAATATCATTTACATATATCAGAAATAACAAAGGGCCGAGGATTGACCCCCGGGCACTTTACACGTTATAGATACTAATTCTGATTCATTTGAATCATAACATACATATTGTTTTCTATTTGTTAAATAATTTTTAAACCATTGTATAGCAACACCCCTCAATCCATAGTATTCAAATTTACGTATAATTATTGTATGGTCAAGAGTGTCAAATGCCTTGCTCAGATCCATGAATACTCCAATATTAACATGCTTATGATCAGCTAAGGCATTTGACACTCTATCAAATAATTGTAACAAAGCTAACTCCGTTGAATGAAATTTTCTAAAACCATATTGATTTTCATACAACAGTTCATTTTTTGTTAGAAAATCATACAGTCTATTATAAGTCAGTCTTTCTAAGACTTTAGAAATACTTGGTAAGATAGAAACAGGTCGGTAACTTGAAATTAGAGAAGAGTCGTCTTTTTTGTATATTGGAATTACTTTTGCTATTTTCAGAGAGTCCGGAAATACTCCCGTTGTAAGTGATAAATTACAAAATTGAGGCGTTACAATACTTCCTATACTATTTGTTTTAAAAAGTGCGTACTCATCTCATCATGACTACAAGAATAACTAATTTTCAATGAATTGACAATATTCAAAATTTCAACACAGTTTGTAGGCATAAAGAAAAACGATTTATCACATTTATCATTTGGTATCATTTTGGTGTAGTATGTGTTCACGCTTGGATAAACAGGAGGCATTGTTTGCGAGAGTGCAAAAAATCGACTTGTGCCAAAGTGATGCCTACAGCATGTATTATATTGGGATTGGCGGAGTGAGAGAATGAATTGAATGTATCAAATGAAATGCATTGCATATGCTTTTTGCAGAAGCAAAGTCACACACACACGCACAAATGTTCGTTGATATTTGATTTTCGATATTTGATATGTGTGGCATAATTAATTTTGTAAGGGATGTGTTATTTGGATCTGCAAAGACTGAATTAATACCCAAATCCCAATTGTTTTATTCAAGTATAAGCCACTTTGGCGCAAGTCGATTTTTTGGGGGTAGTGAGCAACAATTTTTTTGTTTTTGGCCGGGGGGGGGGGGGGCACGTGTCCCCTGTGCCCCCCTGGATCCGTCCCTGACATGAGTTCAAATACAAGCACAAGCGAGTTGGTATGAGCTGAAGCCAAATCAAGGGCAAAATAAGCAGCCCCTCTACCGTTAATTTAAAATTTGACTGTTGAGTATATAGCTTCTATTTAAAAGACATCCAAAATATTGTGCCCTTTTCAAATTTTTCACAAAAGAGTGATGACCTTTGTAGCGCAGGGGCTGTTTTTGACGTTTAACTTTGAATCCGAGGCTCGAGATTTTATGCGGCCGGCCCCCTCTATTGTTTCCCAAGCCTTCTGGAATGACCCCAAATCTCCCGATTACAGTTTTTCCCTTATTCGTCGTTTCTGTCACTAAGGCCATTTCCTTGTCTTTTCCCCTTTCTCACCCGACGTTTCTCTCACCCACTCAGTGTTAACTAGGGTACGCGTATGCTCCCTCTTTGAAGCACCCCTCTATCTCCGGTGTCAGTGGCGTAGTGAGAAAAAACGTTTGGGGGGGGGGGGCGGGGGGGCTGACAAAACAAATCTGCATCACCCCCCACTCTTACATGCAGGTCCCGCTGAACGTTTTTCAAAGTGGGGTCTAGTGGCAAAGCCCTGGCGGGGGTACAAGGAGCGGAGCCCCCGAAGCTCAAGGGGTATGGGAATCAGTGGCGGATCCAGGAATTTCTTACGGGGGTGGGGGGGGGGGGGGGGGAGGGGGCACAAAATGGCATGGGGTGAAATAATGTAAAACGATAAAGTGACAGAGCGAGGCTTTAGCTGCGAGGGAGCGGAGCGACCAAGAGGGGATGGAAGAATGTGCAATTTTATAACCACATTAGACGCATTTTCAGGCACTTCCTGGAGTAATATGACGTAAAATTGCTTTCTGCTACCCCCTCCAAGAGTAGTGATCTTTTGCAATTTGAGAACCACATTTGACGCTTTAATGTCCTGCGTGAAGCACGGAAGCTTTTACGTTTCATCAAATTATTACTCTTAATCCTTGTCTGAATTCATTTTCGCCATCCCGCGCGAAGCGCGGAAGCTTACACCTTTAATTAAATTATTAGAGAAAGAAGACGATTCGTTGTATCGTGTCCCTGTCTGAATTCAGATTCCCCCATTCCGCGCAAAGCGCGGAATCTCTGACGTTTCTTTTAATTATTACTCATAGTCCTTGTCTGAAATAATTTTCGCCCATCCGGCGCGTAGCGCAAAGGCTTTCACCTCTCATTGAATTATTAGAGAAAGAAGACGATTCACGTTGTACTATTCTTGACTTTGATCCTAGTCTGAATTTAGTCTCCCCCCTCCCGCGCGTGGCGCGGAAGCTTTGATGTTTCATTTAATTATTACTCTTAATCTTTGACTGAAATCATTTTCGCCCATCCCGCGCGTATCGCAGAAGCTTTCACGTTTCCTTTAATTATTAGAGAAAAAAGACGATTCGTTGTACCGTTCTTGACTTTAATCCTAGTCTGAACTCAGTCCCCCCCCCCTTCCGCGCGTAGCGCGGAAGCTTTGTCGTTTCATTAATTTATTCGAGAAAGAAGACGATTCGTTGTACCGTTCTCGACTCTTAATCCTACTCTAAATTCAGGTGCCCCCCCCCCTCTCTCGCGCGAAGCGCGGAAGCTATGCCGTTTCATAAAATTATTAAAAAAAGAAGACGATTCGTTGTATCGTGTCCTTTTCTGAATTCAGTTCCCCCTCCCGTGCAAAGCGCGGAAGCTTTGACGTTTCATTTAATTATTACTCATAATCCTTGTCTGAAATCATTTTCATCCATTCTGCGCGAAGCGCGGAAGCTTTGCCGTTTCATTAAATTATTAGATAAAAAAGACGAGTCTTTGTACCGTTCTTGACTCTTAATCCTAGTCTAAATTCAGTTGCCCTCCCCCCCTCCCCCGCAAAGCGCGGAAGTTTTGCCGTTTCATAAAATTATTAGAGAAAGAAGACGATCCGTTGTATCGTGTCCTTGTCTGAATTCAGTTCCCCTCCCGCGCAAAGCGCGGAAGCTTTGAAGTTTCATTTAATTGTTTCTTTTAATCCTTGTTTGAAATCATTTTCGCCCATCCCGCGCGTAGCGCAGAAGCCTTCACGTTTCATTAACTTATTAGAGAAAGAAGACGATTCGTTGTACCGCTCTTGACTTTAATCCTATAGTCTGAATTAATTTGCCCCTCCCCCCTTCCGTGCGAAGCGCGAAAGCTTTGCCGTATATATTAGAGAAAGAAGACGATTCGTTGTACCGTTCTCTACTCTTGATCCTTGTCTGCATTTAGTTTCCTCACTGGGCCCCTTAACGTTACACGTGCAGTGTTACATGATTTGTATATGTGTGTATTGTTATTGAGACAGGGCCTTATGGAAGACCAGTTTTTAATCTGAATGACTGATACCCTGAATAAATATGTGAAATAAATAAATAAATGAATAAATAAATGTACGTATGGAACGTTCGTTCGCAAATCTGTGCATGCACAGCCCAATAATGGTGGATACTGTTTTCTCCCGGCAGTGCTTGTCGCATTAGCTTTTGGAGAGGAATTTTCTACTAGGTGTTACTGTTAGTGGCCACTAAGGCCCATCAGTGACTATAAAAAAACATATGCTCTTCCTGGCTATTTGGGAATGTGTCACTTTGCAACAGAAATGGAGAAACACGCATTTTGTTGAAAATCATGTGATATCACGAACATTTTATAAATTACTTGTATGGAATTGAAAATAAGTCATGGTTGAATTTTATTTGGGGGGCTGGCGCCCCCCAAGTTTTAATTTTGTGATATGCGCTATATAAGAATAGGTTTATTATTATTATGATGGCTAGTTGTGCTCGTGAAAATTAATCCTTTGTTGTGTTCTTTTCCGTCAGTATTCCCGTTTCATTCATAAAAAGGGACTTGTACATTCCGTAATTAGTCTGCATATTCAGACTCTCAAGGTAAAAATGCGTAGAAAATAAAGCATAAACACAAAATCGTATTTTAAAAATGTATTAGTGTGGAATATGAATACACGCATAATGTTAGAATAGATACAAGTTCTAAGATCCTACTTGAGTAATTCATTTTGGATATAAAAAACTGGAAACAGTTGAAATCTATGTACTATATTTCCTAAATCTAGACTAGATCTAGAAATCTAGACCAAAAGCCCGCCGCCGCATACTACTACCGATACCGTATGCGATATGGATTATATGCATCGTGCATCATATCACTTCCTCTTCGACCGCATGTTATATGAACTGAAAGTTGGATTTATTTCAAGTACAGTGTACTCAGCTCACAGGCCCGGCAAGCTTTGCGCAAGTGACTGGAGCTAATAATATTTCAAACACTTCAGTGCAGGTAATATTTCAATTTTTTAAATTCATTTGCTCTGTGGCTTCTGGTTGTGGTAAATTAATATAAGTATCTTTTTATCGCAGAGCAGAGCGTAACTATAGTATATGCATGGATGCATACTGCTTGGCACCAGTGCACCTGTTTGGGCGGTGTACATGTATATGCCGTGCCTCGCCTTGCCGCGCCTCGCCTTGCCGCGCCCTCGATATGCGGCAAGCCTTGACCAGAGTCAGGCGTACAATCTGACAACAGACCCACTTTCATCAATCCTGTTTTATAATTATTTGTTGAAATGTTTTTCGATGAAAGTATTACTGGGTCATTTGCCCATAGGCCTAGATCTAAGTCTTAATAGCTTAGTCGGATCCATTGCAGGCGTTTGCTTGAAACATGATGCAAAGATTTTAAAGAAATGAATCTTTAGAAATCTACATCAATATGTATCGGCTAGCATCCTATTCCTACATGTACAGTAGTGTAAATCATATGTACGTGTGCTGTAATTCTAAATGAATAATTGTGCTTATCGATAATTGATATTTTGATGATGATTGTTTTACCTGATATCTTCTGGTTTAGACAATATTTTTTTCACCTGGCTTTCAGATTTTCCTCAACCCTTCTGAATCTAAATCTGAAAATAATTAATATGGCTCATTACCCTTAGTGGAGTAAAACAAAGCAGACAAATTTAATAGTGATCTCATTATACTCATAAAATTTCAAACATTCATACAGTAGGCTTAACAAATGTACATGTACATGTATCTTCCTTATTATTGGTCCCTTTCAAACTTGCCAATCTGTTTTTTTTCCCTCAATTTTTCTGATTTCATGCAAATGAACTTTAAGCTTGAATTTTGTGTGGTTTTCCCTTCAATGTTTTCAATACCTCTATTACAGTTTACTAAACAAAAGACATTTGCATTCACATATACATGTATGCTAACCATTGAATGGATTTACTGGTTCTGGGGGGTGTTTCACATAAGCTGAACTTATCTCTATTAGTTGGACTTACAATTATGGAAAGCCGTTAGTAACTTTGAAAATATTTTGTAAAAGTTATTTTAAAAGGCAGCAAATGTTGATTCAAATCATTCATATTTTATATGATCAAGGAGATTTCATGTTCATGATGTTGAATTCATTAGTTCAAAATACTTGAACTTTTGCTTTTGAATATATTTCATTCTAAGGCTACAAATGGCTCTCCATAATGTTTAAGTCCAACTTGAAGCTAATCTTAGTCTTTGTGAAACACTCCCCTGGACATCTTCCTAATGACTGCTCCAGGTCTGTTCCTTGCTCTCATGCAAACCAAATAGTTTCCTCTCACTGAGGTCAGAATGCCTGCAGTCCTGACAATCAACCATATTAGTCAGAGTCTCACGTTCCTCAGGGGCAGGAGGATCTACACATTAAAGGGGAGGTCTAACCTCATATGAAGTTGGGTTGCAATAGAAGCAGAAAAATGAAGAAACGGGTCATAATTGCCCTTTAAAAAAAAAAAATTAATTATACACTCACCCTGAATATAATTATTTCCAATATGTATTTCATTATTAATTTAGAATATATGAAAGTTTATGAAATTTTCAGTATATAGCATAATGGAAAGGAGCTCCCAACATACGTCACAGTGTTGCCAATTTGTGTTCCACTTATGTTGACTTAAACAATTCATAACTGTCCTATTTTTATTTGGATATTATGCTCAAACTTTCACTAGATATTTTCTGCTTGCATTATTACCAACTTAATATCAGGGTGGACTTCCCTTTTAAAACTTTTTCACGTATGTTGCAATAAACCGTAAGGTATTTAAATAAAATAGTACTGTAGGCCTACTTCATATTTTGTATCGTATAACACAAAGATGAGTAGTATACGTACACGTGTGGGACCATTTTTCTGTGCAGGAACATTATGACTCGGTATAGTCATGAAGACTAATTTTTTGTATTGGTTCCATTTTGTTCACAGAGCAAAGAAATTAATCCTGACATGAAATTGTAAATGTTTTATGTTTAACATCTCATATGCTGAAATTACTATACTGTACAACAGAAAAAACTGAGAATTGTGAATTGAGATCTTCATGTCTTTCGGCAAAGAATTTTGACTGAAATATCTTTATGTCTTGTCCCCCCCCCCCCTCCAAAAAAAAAAAGAAATACAAAAATAATGGAGTTACATGTATGTATCATATTTTGGGGTCATTTTGAATTCTAGAGAGTCATTTGTGCCTGGTTTTGATAGGAGCAACAAAATAAGTTACCCATTTCCTTTGTAACTTTTACAGTACTCAAGAAATATTTTTGATAGTTGTGGATGCGGAACAAGCACTTGTTTCTCTTGTATTTAGAGTGTTTTACCTGTATACATGTTTGCACAGGGGCCTATATTTATTGTTTAGGTACAATGTACAATGCACAATGTATCATTTATCTGTGTCATTTTTTTTGTTTTACAGTGCCCTTTTGCTAGAAAATACTAGTAGAACTAATTGGCTTTTCCTCAAGCTTTCACAGATTTGCTTCTCTCATTTTTGTCTAACTTTAAGCCACTTGATGCCACAGATGCCACTAGTGTACAATATGACTAAGGATGGGGACATGGAGACATCAAAAAAAATGAAAGCCAACTCTTTCCGACAATAGGCCGGTTCACACATACAATTAGTGCGATTTGGATCGCGATGCAAAGATTTTTTTTTTGGGGGGGGGGACCATAAGATGTCAATTTAGTGCGAATTAGATTGCGATGCTAAAATTTGACTGTTTTTGGTAACCACTCACACGCGGAGAATTCTCACTCGATGGCAAGAACGTCTGAACTGTGCAAGTGTGAATCTTGAAGATGTACGCGCGCTTGAAATCCTGGGATCGAATAAATCAATTTTTGATTCTCAATACCATTCACACACACAGCGCCGGGCAAACTATCATGATTATTCTGAAAAATTGCAAGACTTACTGCAAAAAGGCAGAGAATAGTGAAATTAATCTGTCCACACAGGCAAATTAGATTTTTGGATCGCGATGCAAAAATTGATTTTTAAATCTCACTTTTTTCTGTAGGTGTGATCGCCCCTAGTAGCCTACACTACAGTACATACTTGGGGCACATCAAGGGCTTGTACCCCTACATATCTGCTAGTAAAACATATTTTCAATCTGCATACTGTGTAGGTCCTCCCAAGACACACCCCTTTCATTCTGCAAGGCTTTAGATTTAGGACCAAGGGTTAACAAACTTTGTGTAAAGGTTGTAAATGCACGAAGATTCCTTTTACAGCCTCTAGACATGTACTGTAAATAAAAATAAGATCTTACGCCTCTTTCTCTAGCTTTGTGAGATATGACAATGACACTGTCAATGACGATGATGTGATTGGCTCATATCATGGTTTTGCTACATGCATGCGGCCACATCAGCTTGCTTCTTGAACCCATGGTGCAATATGATTGGCTACCAGTAAATCACTCAGGTAGTGACATCAGAGCTAGTTTTTAATTATAGAAAGTGTTACCTTGCATGTGCAACAGGTCTATTTATTACCGGTATGTCAATATATTGCAAGGATATTTGTTCCTTCATCTATTGTGTTTTCTTTGTGAACACATAGGAGGGGGGATGCAAAAAGCAATGTTTACATTGTTATTTCTGTCTTTTGTACCAAAGAACCATCATTATCTGATTGTTATACTCACTGTATGTTTTCCGATTGGTCAAATAAATAATAATAATAATAATAATAATACTGTCTCATATTATCCTCATACATGTAGGCAAACACCTTGCACAATGCAAAAACTGCAAATACTTGTCAAGTAAATGTACATGTATACATGTACCGGTAAATGTTTGCCAGATCAACACCTTTGTTCCTGGATATTTGCCAAGACTACATGTTTATTTATTTCAATTTAATAAGATTTATTCATTTGGAAGGTCTTCTACGATTTGTTTTGGAGGGTGTCTCCGTGTGTTTGCATTTGAAAGTTAATATTGAGGTTAGAGATTGGGTTTGCTCCCGCCCCTTTGAGTGGCAGACCAAAGTCCGATAACATAGAGATAATTTACTTCCTATCTTTACTGCTGTCATTCATTGTTTTATACAATCAGTCTTTATTTACTTAGTCGGGAGATCAACGGTTCTTAAATCCTGAAGATTGATAGCATTACAAAATCTCTTGCCCTGTCTGGCTTCAGCGGTAATCAGTTTCACATAAAGCTCAAAGCTTACAGGAACATCCAGCCAGCGCTCTACAAGGTCCGTCCAACCTAGCTCAGTCGTGCACCTTTAATTTCAGTGTGACATTGGAAGCTTACCGGTCGCATTAGAATTCAGGAAACCATTGTTATTTGAGGGATACTGAGGAGATTCGAGCTCATTTTCATCCAAAATGGTTGAGAAGACTGAAGAAAATGGTTTGGGTATAGACAATCCAGCTCTTACTGAAGATCAAAAAGACATCAGGTAAAGTTCTTTATAAACTGTATAATCAATAACAATTCACCTTTTCTTGGTGGTGGTGGTGGTGGGGGGGGGGGGGGAGGGGGTTAAGTTTAAATCTTCTTAGTTCATTTCCGATAAAATTCTAGGAGTTGATGTGTCATTTTCTCTGGTTTTTGTTTAATGCGATAGTTCTGCTATTTCATTGAACAATAAGCGCACAATATTTCCAATCTGTTAAGTTGTTCCAACCCTATATTCATGTTTCCGTCTTTATGGGTATTGCATACGGTACCCATACGTCTGGATGAAAAGAATTATGTGCGTTGCATATATTCAGTGCCATTCTGATGAAGAGTTGAAAATTGATCTGAATTAATTAATTGCAATTGTATACATATGATAATAACAATCACAACTATTGATAATACATGTACATTTCATGAGATTTAATATTTGAAAATGATTAGAACACTTTTGAATGATTCAAATGAATCACAACTACTCATAAGACAAGGCCACTGGAATTAAACTGGCTGAAACTGGCTGAAACTGGCTGAAACTGGCTGAAACTGGCTGAAACTTGATGATTTTGAAGCTCAAATTAATTATGTAGCTTAATACACTAGTTACAGAAAGAGCAAGTACATGTAGTACTTGATAAAACTTTATTCAAATTTAAATGTTGAAGTTATTTAAAAGTAAGAACAAGAACAAGGATATGGCTGAATGAATTCAAGGTCTCATATTGTTCATGTACAGTTCAGGTAAATTAATCAACCCAGTTCTAGGCAGTTGCTGAAAAGGCTTTTGACGAGTACCATAGACGTAGACGTAGGCAGAATAGTTATTTGCTAGATCAATTCAGTCAGTCATTAAAATTTGTAGTCTCTAACAAAGGGTGCCCAACTTACAGTATAAAAGTTTTGGGGGTACCCTCGCTTTTCATAAGGACCGCTATTCAACTTCCTAAACGTGAAGGACCGCTATTCATAAAACGACAAGGTGGTCACTATGCATAAAGGCATATGGACTGTTATTCAAATTTTGAAAAGCAGTCCTTCTCAATAGTGGTCCTTATGAATACCGTTCCTTACTGTATGAACAGTGGTCCTTATGAATAGCAGATTAGCTACCGTATGTATGAATAGCATTCCTTATGAATAGCGAGCGGACCCCAAAGTTTGCATATATATATTTTCTAACTACATGTACAGATAGATTTGTATTTAGATACAGATGTAGATACAGGTAGTGCAAATTGCTGACTCACTATGACAAGGCAGTTTTACATCGTACTTCGTTCCTCCTTGAAGATTTAAGAAATGAATTCATCAGGTTCTCTAATGCTGCCTACGAACACAACAGTGATTAAAGGTCTGCAGTGTGTTTTTATCTGATCAATCCTTCACACCAGACGCACCTTCCTAATAGATTGCATTGAGATCACCATGCTCATCGAATTTATGACAGTATTCCTGAATTCCAGCAAATAATTGTAGACATCGATCCTGGGGAGTTTGCAGTGAGTTATTTGATTGACATTCAGAAGTGCATGGCCAAGTGGCTATCAAGTGTGGCGAATATATGAATGGATTTGCAATATGTCTTTGACTTACGTGTATGCTGAATGGAACTGTTGGGACTTCTAAATTGTAACCATACTAGAGTAGACCAGTTGCTAGTTAGAAATGAATAAATGCTGTTTGTCTCAGATTATTAAGATAACTGGTCGTAGTAATCAGTTTTACTTCTTAATTGCCTTGTGACCTACACTGTACATGTATAAGAGTATACCGGTAGACAATTGGTTCAAACACACCAGCATCCCAGTCAGGGTTAGCACGCAACACTTTTAAATCTGCGTTTTAAATTGCCCATTTAAGAATTTAAAAAAAAAATGATTTAAAATGCCTCAATAGACATGTGTGATATATCAATTTCATATGCATTTGCTTTCAGTTGGTAATCATTTTCTTGCTGCTAAAATTGCTTGGTTTTGTATTTATTTTGGCATGTACAGTGTATAATATGAATCCACTGTTGCTTATTTAAATAAAGGCCAGTCTCGTGAAATATATCTCCACCATGTCTCTCTCCTCTTGGGTCTTCTGGAAGGTTATCTGAGGATTCTAGCGATCAACAGTACATGCATGATACTGATGGTCTATGAAGACAGATAAAGCCCCCAAGACCGATATATATTGGTCTCAGCAGCCTCTTCACAAATTTCCTCTAGAGGGTTTTCACGAAACCAATTTTGTCAATCTTGTGGAATGCGGGTCTGTAGGGATGTACCCATTAAAAAATAGTTAAGTCTTCAAAGTGTAGCCAAAGCTAGTGTAGCCAAGCTTGATAACATTGCCTTTTTACAAGGAAAAGGTATACATGATATTCATATCTAATCGTAAATGTGGAATAATTTCCCAGAGAGAGAGAGAGAGAGAGGTGTAGAGAGAGATTCCCAGAGAGAGAGAAGGGAGTGAATCTTTTAGAAATTGAAAGTAAAGTTTCAACCACAGGAAATGAAGCAAAGCGAGTGAGTCTTATGGCCTATTCAGACTTGAAGACATTTATACAAAACTATCATCTAAAATTGTAAAGTAGGACTCTTTTGTAAAATGAAGGAAGCATAGAGAAACTACTTTTGAAGAGATCAGTAGACCCGACAGCAGGCCATTCATTGTTCTTTCGCGATAAGCCCCTCCCAATTACGCGGTTTTTATATGATACTACATTCAGACTAGACGGGGACACCGATTGTTCATTGAGTTTTCATTCAATGCGCAAACACAAGTTTTCATTATACAATGTTGCTTTATCTGATGTTCAGACTTTAAAAATGGTAATGACCTATCGTATAGTGCTATTCAATTCTGGTATGAATGGTTTGTAGCTACATGTATACAGTGAATTCTGGTAGTGTGAATGTGGAGTGAGTATAAGAGGTTCATGTTATGAGAAGATTTCAGTTTGGTTTCACGTTTATTTTTAGGCTTGAGTATATTCACAATGATCTGAAAGTAATTAATACCCATTATAAGTGGTTACACTTGATGTGAAGATGTCAGTTAGGTTTGGTAAGTGTAGCTTTGTTTTGTTTTGTAGGTTTTAGTATTATTCACAATGATCTGACACTCACTGAGTACTAAGTACTCATTGATCCTGTTGCTGAGTGGCTTAGGCAATGAGAAATTGAGAAGTACATTTAAACAAAATATAACAAAATAGAAGAAAATTTAGGTTTGAATCAGTAATTTTTTTCCCATGATTATGAGGCAACCTACATTGAACAAGAAATCAAGATTACTTTTGACGAGGTACATTTATTTCTTTTCTTTTTCGTTATCATGCAGTCCCAAGGAGATTGAAAGCACAATGCCATCCAAGGCAAGTTTCTCACCCCTCAAAGCGCCGCCTGCTACGGCAGGTTATCCTGGGGCAACCAGGGAGAAGTGGGGTAACAAGGCTCAGTTCATCCTAGCCTGTGTAGGATATGCTGTCGGTCTAGGGAATGTCTGGAGATTTCCTTACCTCTGTTATAAGAGTGGTGGCGGTGAGTACACATAATATGGATCATTTTAAATGTTTGATGATAAAGAAGTATCATTGATGCCGCAGAGATGCGCTATGATGTCAAATGTTTAACATCATCTAGTGGTACAGTGTCCTAGATGATAAATCACAGTTTGTACTCTTTGGTAATATCTACTTTATTTTAGAAACTGATAATGGAAGACAAAAATGCTTTGTCATCTTCTAATTTTGTTAAGTCATTCCAAGATGTGCCAAGTCTTACCTGTTGGTATCATGTAAATATCATGTGTTGGCCTCCTGATCGCAATCTAAATATTCTTCAAGGAACTTTGAACTTTTATTACGTGTAAATGTACATATTGGTTCACACATGGCATTATCAAACGGTTCCTAAGATGAGATTCTAGTTTTTATGCTTTTGAAGATGGTCAAATAAAAGCTTTTGCGCCTCAATTTTTGAACACGCCACAAGGTCATCATGTACATTATACACACAAGTTTTTGGCTCTATCTTTCCTTGTTCTTCTACAGTACATGTACAAATGTATATTACAACCCCGCATTTTCACCCCTCCCTCTCTCCCCTCCCTCCCTCCCCTCCCTATCTCTCTTTCCTCTTCCCCCTTTCTCCCCTCTTCCCCCTCTCTCTCTCTCTCTCTCTCTCCCTCCCCCCTCCCTCCCTCCCTCTCCCTCCCTCCCCTCCCTCCCTCCCTCTCCCTCCCTCCCTCCCTCCCTCTCTCTCCCTCTCTCTCACCTCTCTCACCTCTCTCATCCCCTTTCTCTCATAACAAAAAAAATATCCATTATTATTTTCCCCATCTGTCTCTGAATATAGGTGCGTTCCTGATCCCCTACTTCCTCACCTTGTTCCTGACCGGTCTACCTCTTCTCCTTCTTGAGTTTGGTCTTGGTCAATACATCCGATATGGACCGGTAGAAGCCTTCAAGAAGATCACCCCTCTCTTCAAAGGTGAGAATCATACCCTTTTTATACTCACTGCCGAAGAGAATTGAGTCTGATACAGTGAAACCTGTCTATAAAGACCACCCAAGGGAGACAAGAAAAGTTGTCTTTATAAGCAGGTGGTCTTTATATACAGGTTCCTGTAGTACATGTTTCAATGAGAAACTATTTTCAAGGGAAGCAACAAATGTGGTATTTGTAGACAGGTGGTCACTAAAGCAGGTTTGACTGTATTACCCTGTCGAGTGCATCAGTATTATCTTCATTATGGGTTATAGTCCGGCAGCCATCTCGATATACCTTGTTTTAGGGTCTATAGTTTTTTTTTCTTCGGATTATAGTTCCTTAGACCATCAATTTGAAAAATTCGATTGCTGACACTCTGTCAGCATTGAGCAATTTGAGATATGTGACGTCATACAAAATGGCCGCCAAAATCCCCTTTTTAACCAAAATTAATGATATAAAAAGTTTTAACAGCATTTTACTACATTAAATGGCAGTCAAATATCTTGATTTTTTTCTAGAATCATCACTAAATAAAAATTGCAATGCTGTATGATCACAAATGATATGCAAATTTGCATTATTCGGAATGGCGCCCTCTATAGACACTTTAACTTGCATAGGTCAAAATGATGGCCAAATACCAATTTCTAACATGAGATTATCATATGTCATGAATCAGATGCACTGAATACAGTGAGTAAAGATTGTGCTGCACATTTATTTTTATTTTGTAATTTGATACTCGAACAAAACACGGTTGAATTTTATGCTCTCTGTCCCATAGATATGAGGTAGCATATGGTGATAAATGCCCATTTTCAGTGACAGCGTTAAGAAACTAGATTTGTATTCTAAGGTACTAGATTCTTTTAAATTAACCTAAAATTACGAACTACCACTACGATACAGGACTATATCCGTTTATAAGTTTGCTTCAAAATCTTGAAATTTGTTTAAAAGCTCTCTAAAGTGTTGGGAACCCTAAAATATTCCATGTGGAAGAGGGTGTCATTTAACACTTAATTCTGCAAAGTAAGGTCGTGACTGTAATGCGTGCTTCCACACGCATGTTTGCAAATGAGTTCTCTTAACATTTTCTACAAACGCTTCAGTAGTTTGAGGTAGTGAGGCAAGGTTTGGGGGTATTTGGAGCTCCTAGTCTTCGGACCCTTGATAGCCACACGTTGATACGAGCCTCTGACATTCAGTTGGTTGTTGACTGTCCATAACATGAAGCAAAGCATTGAGTAGGTTGAGTGATGACATATGACCATGCTGCATCAATATTGCCAACTCAGTCCTAAGGGAGTCGAATCTTCTGCTTCATCACTTTCAGCATTGTACCCTATCCAATGCCAAAGTATGCCCCAAGAGTGTCGCATCCCGTCAACGCATGTCCTGCCAACATCGATGGAATGATATCTCCTAACTTGTCTACATTGGCAGGAACATCAATAACAGTTTGATTTGTGAAGGGGCGTCTCCATGGTAATTGGCGTTTTATAAGTCCGTCATGTAGATAATGATGCAAAAGTAGTACGTAGACGTCTGTGTCATCCACTAGGACCCTATTAACATACATCTTCTCATTAGCATCAATTCCAATCGCTTGCTGTTCTTTGATGTTGCCTGCTTCATCATAACTATGTTGTGGACAGACCTTTCATTGGCATGACATCACTGCCTGGAATCACTTCAACAAGAACCTCATCTTGACGGTAAAGGCCTGCTTGTGCTTTTGCCTATTTCTGAGCACCCAATCATCCTGCAGACTCGCGCATATAATTATGATGTCGATCAAATGTAGTTTGTTGTCATGAAAAGATAGTGAAGTTAGCAACACTAGAGACACGTTTCAACAACTTCTCTCCCTAGCTTTATTGATCTTTCCAAAGCTTTTGACTGCGTACAACATAAACGCCTATGGAAGATTATGAGCTAGATGGGCTTTCCAGCACATATATCAACTCATCCAGTCGCTCTACCAATACCAAGAAGCAACAGTAAGAGCAGAGAATGGCGACACCGAAAGGTTCACTATTGGTCAATTTGTCCGTCAAGGCTGCAACCTATCACCATAATTTTTCAACATCTATGCTGAATTCATCATGAGAAAGGCATTTTATGGTCAAGTTTCTGTTGGTGGACGAACGATCACCAACCTAAGATACGCCAACAATACAACACTCTCTGGCGTATTAATGGGGAAGGGTATGGGGGGGGGGGGGGGTTGGGGACAGTTGCACCCCCAAACAAAATTCAAACTGTTTTTTTTATATATTCGATACCAGTCATTTACAAATGTTGCTGAAATGACATGATTTTCCTGGGTTTTTTCTCACTTTTTAGTAAATCCACAGTCAAGCAAAAAATATGCTTATTTAAAAGCCTACATGTCAGGGTCCGCAGAACAGCGGGGCTCAGGGGACTCGAGCCCCCCTCACTTTTTGTATAAAGTATGTTAAAGAGAACTAGACAGAAAGAAAGAAAGTGACCCGAGGTGAAATGAGGTATCAAAATATGTTCATCTTACAGTTAATAAATGCCTGAAACCCTTGAGCTTCCGGGGGCTGTGCCCCTTGAACACCACGCCAATTTGCGCTCCTCTCTTCCTGATCGTAAATACTTCAACCCCCCCCCCCACCCCGCTTTAAAAAAAAAGTTCCGCGGGGCCTGCATGTAACATGTATGAGTGGTGGTGATGCAGATTGTTTTTCTGCCCCTCTAAGTGTTTTTGCTCAGTATGCCACTGACAACACTTATAACAAGAACATCAGAAGAACTACTAGAACTCCTTAAAAAAGAGTGAAGGATGCAAGTGAATAATTTGGACCCTACCTCAATGTGAAAAAGACCAAGATCATGATTGGTGGAAATTAACTACATGCAACAGAGCATGGTGGTTGATGGAGAAGAAGTTGATCAAGTGGACAAGTTTATATAATGTTCTTGGGTCAATGATTGTCAAGGAGGGTGGAAGCTCGGCAATCTGCCTTTGAAATGTGGTGTTGGAGGAAGCTACTTGGGATATCATGAAGAGATTACAACACCAATGTACACAATTAATGTCCATCATCGGAGATCAACCGCCACTTGCTACCAGGATTGACAAGTACAAGCTACAATAGTATGGTCACGTTAGCAGAAGATCAGGAGACAACCTTGACAAATTATCATTCAAGGTACCTTTGAAGAAACACGTAACAAAGGAAGACTCAAGCTCAGATGGACTGACGACCTTAGGGAAATCACAAGCCACCCTCTAAATACTAAAGACACTCTACCGGATTGCAGGAGACAGATGCCGATCAAAAGGTCTCATCAAACGGGTCACAAGGGTGAGCCATGATCTATATGACAACGACGACGACGACGAACAGTAAGAGGTAGTTTCTTGGAGGGCAGCAGTGACGCGGGACTCAGTTGGAAGACTCTCGACCCGTTATGACCTCTAAATACTCTCGGATCTGTCAAACACCAAGCAAACATCATCAGATTTTCATCCACAGCAGCTATAGAGCACAACCATCAATGACTGTACAAGGTTGTTCCAGTGTCTCATGCCTGGCTGACATCTCAACTTTTGTCAAATTCTATAAGTCCGTCTTTGACATGGGAGTGCTCGTTTCCAGAATCATCAAAAAGTGCTGTTGGGACTGGTGAAAGCTCTTATGACAAAATGTCCTTGACATTGACCTCTCTTGAACTTGTCTGCAGTCCTATTACTCTGGAGTAGATCAACTTTTCATAGACTTTCGTACCCCAACATTGACTTCTTCATGGCTGCCACGGTTTGAACATTCTTGGAAATTGTGACATAGAATCCACCAGGTAATTTCTTTCGAAAATCATGCATCTGTCTAGTATAGATTTCAACTGCTTTATCCACATTCACTGACGTTGGAGCAATGCTGGTCTAATTAAAGCCTATTAATTGAATAATAATATGTGCCGTAAAACCACTTCTCACTGATTTGTTGAAAAATAAATTCTTTCATAGCCATTTTTTTCTTGACATATGTAGGGTAGGTGTAGGGAATTGGAGACCACCAAGCTTGAACCCATCACTGTCTGTCCGTGTTGGATCCAATATTGATATAGCAACATATGTGGCCTTCAACAACACTACTGCATATATCCAATTCATTTCGAAGACTACAGTGCGTTCTCTCTACGAGAAAATTGGCAAAATTGACCAAGATAAGCAATTTTGATCGTAAAATTTTGCTCTGATATAAAAACACAATTTTCACTGAATGTTGTGGTGTATGCAGATATTTAGGGGTGGCCCTTAAAAAAAATAGTTTTAAAAGGAAGTTTATGAAATGTGCCAACCATCACAGAAAGTTTATGGCCACTGTGTGTTGTGCATGGGTGTTGCAATTCACATTATGAATGGTGTCTGATCAGAAATGTGTGTAGGTAATGGGGGACACCAGGTCCAAGATGGGGGCCTTCTTCTCCCCAGTTGTTCATTTCATGTTGAAAGGCACTATCATGAAACATATTTGGTTGTACGTGTCACAATTCTAATTTGAATGCATTTAATTTTAAGAAGTTGTTTCTATGCTGTGAGTTTGATAAATGTAAAAGTCATATTGCCAGAACATTATTCTGAAAGTATTTTAACATATTTGAGAGCACCTTTATTACGGTAAACAAAAAACTACAGAAATATTTTGGGCCCCATTGTTTTAAAATCGTTTCAAAATTACAGTAAGTTCATTGGCGGCATGTATATCATTCAAAAAGTGTTTGAACTAACTATAACAATCCCATTTTCATTCAAATTGTATTTAAAATGTCTTGATTTGTAACTGTCCCTTATTACCTACACATGTAGGTAATGAGAGACCTTTGGTGATGACGTCATTAATCATTGTTATCTTATTAATCAGTTACATCATCACCACAATTTCGTTACCAAATAAAGAGAAAAAATACTAAAGAGAATACAAAAATGTCTGTATGTGTAACATTGTTCATGTTTATGTAAA